TCCTTATTTTTAAAATGGGAATAATAAGAATAAGAATAAGAATGCGTGCCCTACCTACCCTATAGAGTGTCAAAGGAGATAATGTATTTAATTTAAAATTCTCTGCAAACTTTGAATCACTATATATTCAATAATTACGTCTTTCTAATTTATCCCCTTTCATGAAGTATGACTACAATAGAATCATACTGATTTTTCTTTTCTTGTCTTTTTTTTGGTGAGGTAATCGGGATTAAGTGATTTGCCCAGGGTCACACAGCTAGTAAGTATCTGAGGCCAGATTTGAACTCAGGTCCTCCTTCCACTGCACCACCTAGCTGCCCCCATACTGATTTTTCTTTAGCAACCATCACCACCACAACAAACCAGACTAGACCTTACACAACGAGTGAAGAGGATTCCCTTCAAAGCAGTTTTCTTGGGAGGTGACTCACTTATTCAACCACAGGACCATTGTTCAAAGTATTGTTGGAGTTTCTCTTTGTGAGGAGAATGTAAGCTTCCCAAGGGTTTGAATGGTTTCATTTTTGTCTTAGTGTGTCTTCAGTGTCCAGCACAGAGTCTTTCACTGTGTGGAAGAGACAGTCTGGTGTGGGGAACTTCTGGTGTGAAAAGTCCCTCTACTGGTATAGACTGGCAACTCACAGGATCATAGATGCAGAGCTTTTGGGGAACCTCATAAGTCATCCAGTCCAAAGCTTTTATTTTGCAGTTAACCCAGAGGGGTTCACTGACTGATTTGCCCAGGGTCACACAGGTAGGAAGTGTTAGAGGCAGGATTTGAATTCAGGTCCTGAGTTCTCTAACTTCAAAGCCCATGCTCCTATCACTATGTTTGCACACAGCCGCTGACAATTACAATGGTCTCATGAAATTGCCTGGGGTACTGTTTTAAGTGGCCGCATTCACCCAGGTCATACAGGGCAAAGGCATGACTTGGACAAATCAAACCAACAAGCATGTATTAAGTACTTTCCATGTGCCTGGCACTGTGCTAGTAGTTAGGAATACAGAGACAAAATATGGGATGGATCCTACCCTCAAGAAGCTTACGTTCTCTTCAGAAAAAAACTAAGTAACTACAAAGTGGTAATCTGTTGTAGATGTGAGGGGAAGGGGAGCAGTAAGGGGTAAAGAACTAACACCTGGACCCAGGGCTTTCTTACTCCAAAGCCCCCCCCCATGTCTAGTCTACCATGCTGCCCCTATTTCATGCTCACAGTAGGCACTTCATAAATGTTTGTTGGGGTTGAGCTGTTTGCTTCCAGAATGTGCTGTCCATTCTTCGGCATACCTATGGCAGTGGTGAATCCTTGGAGGGGGGGATTTTATTTTTTTTTAAAGCAATCAGGAATCATCCAGGCCAAAGTTTAGTGACAAACAAGGCTTTTACTGTTTTGGTGTGAATATTAAGTAATGAGACAGACTGTTTCCATGTCAGCTCCATGAGAGAAGGGATTGTTTTGTTCTTTGAACTTATGTCCCTGAATCTAGCACAGTGCCTGGCATGTAGGAGGCTCTTAGTAAATGCTTGTGGATTGCTTGATAATACCTCTGTCCTGTGCTTTGGTCAGGAAGGAAGGAATTTACAGGAAGGAAGGAATAATTTACAATTATTATCTCATTTGATCTTTACAATAACCCTGGGAGGTAAGGTACTATTATTATCCCTACTTTACAGATGAGGAAACTGAGGCAGGCAGAAGTGAAGTCACTTGCCCAGGGACACTCAGCTAATAAGTTTATAGGTGAGACTTGAACTCAGGCCTTCTTGACTCCAGGCCTGGTGCTGCAGCCCTTGTGCTCCCAACTGCCTCTGTCAGAGCACATCTGGAGTACCGTGTTCAATTCTAGGCACTGATAAACTAGAGAGTGTCCAGAGTAGGGCAGCCAGGTTGGTGAAGGAAAAGGGAGGATGAGGTGAAGGAACTGGGGATGCATAGCTGGGAGGGGAGAGGACTTTGGGTGGACAAAAAACTGTTGTCATTTATTTGAAGGGTGGTCAGAACTATGGGCACTGGGGAGAAATTGTCAGGACCAGATTCAGGCAACAAACATCCTGGCAATAGGAGCTGTCCTAAAGGGGAATGGGTTGCTTTGGGAAACCCTCAAGGCAAAGTCATTCATTCATTTGAGAAACACTTTGAAATTTGCTATCAACTAGGAATCCCCATGATTGGGCATTTTAAATTGGATGTCCTGTAGGCATCTCAAACTTAGTATGTTCAAAACAGAACTTTCCCCAATCCTCCCTCTGTCTGAACTTTTCCATTATTGTCAAAGGTACCCCCAATTCTTCCAATTAGAAGGATCTTCCCTCTTTGATTATAAGCTCCTTGAGGGCAGGAACTATCTTTTGCCTCTTTTTGTATCCCCAGAGCTTAGCACAGTGCCTGACAAATAGTAAACACTTAATCAATGTTTTTTTTTGATTGACCGATTGATTGATTCCTGATGCCCAGGTTTGCAACCACTGTGTTACCTCTGACCCCTCAATCTCGCTCACCCCAGATCTCTAATCCTTTACCAAATCTCATTATTTTTCACTTCCCACACCCTTCTCTTGATTCACACAATCACTACCCTAGTTCAAGACTCATTATCTCCCATCTAGACCATTATAATAACCTCTGACTCAGTCTCCTTATCCAAAGCCTCTCCCTTTTCCAATCCAATGTCCACAAAGCTACCAGGGTGTAGGTGGCAAAGACTGTTGGACTTAGAATGAGAAAGACCTTAGTTTAAATCCCATCTCAGACATTTACTAGCTCTGTGACCCTAGGTAAGCCACTTAACCTCTCTTGGCCTCAATTTCCTCATCTGTAAAATGAGGATAATCATAGCACCTACCTCACAGTGTTGTGAAACTTGGAGTATGATAAAATACATAAAGTATTTTGCAAAACCACGTACTATATAAATAGTAGCTAGTTTCCTAAAGCACAGGTTTGATCCCTAAGGGGGGTTTGCTGAAACCTGCTACAGAGAGCTGTTTCCAACATGAGCATTTATGCATTATAAATTGGGGTTTGATTAATAAATCAATATAATCAATATAATAAATCAATCAATAAATTGATTGTCTAGACTTCAGAAAGTGATAGATAACATAGTAATAATGGAGATTAAAGTAAATGTGTCATTAAGTACATTTTTTCCCCTGGTGAGTGAGTTGTTAAACATTCATCAGTAAACCCCTGAGTGACTTTCCTGCTCAATAAACATCAATGGCTCCCAATGGCCTCTTAAGATCAACTATAAAGTCCATTTAAATTTGAAGCTCTTCACACCTCAGCCTCTTTCTATCTTTACAGCCTTCTTTCGTGTTGCTCCCGTCTACACACTCCAAAATCCAGCTATGGTAGTTTTCGTGTTATCCTTCATACACAATTCTCCATTTTCCTTCTCTGTTCCTGGTTGCACTGTCTTCCATGCCTGGAATACTTTTCTGCCTTATCTCTGCCCCTGAGAATCCTTTGTTCCCTTCAAAACTCAGCTAAGTACCATCTTCTACACAACACCTTTACTGATAGCCCAGCCTGTAATGCCCTTCATTTTGTATATCATCGCAATATTTTATTGTTCAATCATTTCAGTCATGTTTGATTCTTCATGACCCCATTTGGAGTTTTCTTGGCAAAGATACTGGAGTGGTTTGTCATTTCCTTCTCCAGTTCATTTTACAGATAAGGAAACTGAGGCAGGCAGGATTAAGCAACCTACCCAGGGTCACCCAGCTAGTAAGTGTCTGAGGCCGGATTTGAACTCAGTAACAGAGTCTTCCTGACACCAGGCCCAGCACTCTATTCACCACACCGCAAATGCCCCTGTATTCTTTACATACCTATACGTAACTGGGGGAGATAGTGAGCATGCATTGTGTGATTGGCTGGTGCAATCCCCTGACACTGGGGACCCTGCTTCTAGAAAGGCATAATGGGGGGCAGGTAGGTGGTGAAGTGGATAGAGCTCTGGTCTTGGAGTCAGGAGGACCCAAGTTCAAATCTCACCTCAGACACTTGATACTCACTACCTATATGACCTTGGGCAAGTCACTTAACCTCAATTGTCTCACCAAAAAAAAAAATTAAAAAAAAATAAAATAGAAAGGCATGATGATATGTAGTAATTAAGGCTATAGAATATAAGCTCCCTGAGGACAGGCACTGTTACCCAGTTCTGGCCATTCACCAACCTTCTGCGACTAGTTCCAGACCCATAACCATGTTGTGAAGAGCAGCCTTTTAATTGGCTATGGATCTGAAACTGATGTGTATTGAAAAGTGGCTAACCAGCCATTGTGAGTCCCTTGGCTCTGGACCTTTCTTCCCTAGTTGTGTTTGAGGAGAGAGACATGTTGTAAGCCTCCGTAAGGGAAGAGGTCCCAGACTCTCCCCATTCAGGGCCAACTTGTGACCTTTGAATGTGGTCCTCTGTCCTTCACCTTTTCGTCTTTGCCCTTTCCTGGTTTTAGGTGAAGGAGTATTGAAGACACCTCTGACTCTGTGAGCTTTAAAAAGTTAGAATGATGAGTTAGTCAAGATCCACGAGCTAATGTCCATGCCAGAATATGAGCCACCAGAGGTCTAAGAGCTTGAGTCCAGGACAAATTTTGCAGCCAGACAGCCCCAGCAGCGAGACCCTGAGGACTGACTTGGGGGGCCCAGCCTGGGGAAGCTGAGATGAGAACTCATCCATCCACTACAGTGCATTTGGAAGTGACTCTAAGTTTGAACTCACTCTCCCCAGGGACCAAGGTGCAACAGGGGAAATTGTGCCCCTAGGTTAAATGTTTACACTAAGATTCTTTCAATATCTTTGCAGTAAATATATCTTTGTAAAAGCTAATTGATTAAATGGAGCTAAGGTGCTGATCACTGGCAATTAACTATAAGGGAAATGGGAATGGGGACTCATATCAATAACATTAGAAAAGAGAAATCTGACCCCTGAGGGATATCTTAGAACCTCAAGGGGGACAGATAGCTGGACTTTTTATGGGAGTGTGAGTTGTCAACAAGAATGTATTTTGCATTCGCTACACCATGGCAGGCACTGTACTTGGGACTAGGTATACAAAGAAAAGCAACAATAATGACAACAACCCCTCCCCCCCCCACGTAATAATGCCTGTCCTCATGGAGCTGTTGTCTGCCTCAACATAATACAGATAGATAACTAAGTGACCCAGGGAGCAGATAGAGCAGTGGTCCTGGAGTCAAGAAGACCTGAGGTCAAATATGGCCTCAGACACTTACTAGCTATGTCACCCTGGGGAAGGTCCCTTAATCTGTCTGCCTCAGTTTCCTCATCTGTAAAGCCAGGATAGTACCCCCCTCCCAAGTTTGTGTTAGGCTCAAATGAGATAATATTTTAAAGCACATTGCAAATCTTAAAGTGCTATATAAACACTGGTTATTATTAACTATTATTAGAATGTAAGTTTTATGAGGGCAGGCACTGGTTCAGTTTGAGATTGTGTGATTTGATCTGCTGGGGCAACTCCATTCACCTCACCAAGCAGGTTTCCCAGCCTCCTACTGCCACAGTAATAATGCGACATTGAAAGATTCCCCATTCAACATCATCTGTCCAGTTGCTTGAAGACAAGGACCGTGACTTCTGGGTATTACCTGTGATTGTTTCCCACTCTTCAAAGTGGCTACTGGAAGATTCTGCCTGTGGGAGGTGCTCAGGGCACGAAGGTCCCTTAGGTTGAGACCCAGGCTCCCACTTCCCCCATTCCATTTTCTCCTTGACCTCCTGCAATGCCCAGCCCACCTTGTGAGGTGTGTTAACCACTGCGATGTTGTAGCCGTATTGGAAAGCTGATCCGAAGGCAGCTGCCACGGTTGCCAGAGCCAGCACAGCAGTGAACCTCTGTAGGAGAAAAGGACTGCTCCATCCAGGGTTGGGGGACACAGGGCACTATCCTCACAGGCTGGCTTGGGGAGCAGGAGAAGGGAAAGGAGGGGAAGAATGTCAGAAAAGCTCTTCCTTCCTTGTGCCTCTAAACCAATATAACATAGGGCCATAGACATAGAGATCCTCTCACCAAGGAGTTCTAAGAATTTTTTGGTATGTGTCATAGACCCTTCAGGCAGTCTGGTGAAACCCATGGAACTCTTCTCTTTTAAATGAATAAAATAAGATACATAGGATTAGATGGCAAGCCAATTACATTGAAATCCAGCTATCAAAGTATGTATAAAACAAAGATCACAGAGCACAGGTTCAGAGCCTCTGCTTAATCTAATGTCTCATTTTCCATATAAGTACACTGAGGCAGGGAAAGTTAAATCACTTGACCAAGGTCACACCATAGCAACGCTGGGATTCTCATCAATATCCTCAAATCCAGTACTTTCTTCTCAGGCCACACAATCTCCCAAGTCTTTTCATAGATGCCAGAAGTCAGCCAGGGAGATCCTACTTAGATTTTCCTTCTGTCTCCAATCCTAGTGACTCTCTTTTCAGGGCTAATCCTAGGGACACTGCCTGTTTTCCTCCCCCCTCCCACCCCCCATCAGTGCCCATTAAAAAAAAACCCTCTTGGATTTTAGAAATCAAACAGTACAATTCTACAGTCTGCAGTCATGCTCCTAGGGTGCAAATATTCTCTCGTATTTATTGTTTTGCAGACATAGGTGTGTAAAAATGCTTTTGCAATTGAATAGGAATGTATTGGAATAGAGGCACCTCTTTTCTTTTATTACCATCATTATCATCACAGAACTTAGCACATAGGCAGCACAATCTAAGAAACAAAATTCTGGACTTAAGAGTCAGATAGACCTAGATTTCAATGCTGCTTCTGATATTTATAAGCTGTGTGACTATGGTGAAATCAATTAACTTCTTTGGGCTTTAGGTAATGCTCTACTATTGTTCTAGGCTTGTGTGCTCTGTGCTGGGTGGAGAGTTTCCATTGATATATAATCACAGTTAATAACTATTGTCCCCAGGGTAACTGGCTTTCTATTTCTTCCAGAATATTCTAATAGCTGAACTCAGATTGTCCCCCTCTTCCTCCCTTTAAAAAAGTCTTAATTTAATGGAATTCCCAGAGAACTCTGCTAGCATTAAACAGTCACCCATCTCTGTAGGAGGCATGATGGGAAAAGGGACAGATCTGGAGCCAGAGGATTTAGGTTTGAATCTTAGCTTTGCCCCCTTCCCACCTTGGGCAAGTCACTTAACATCTCTAGGTCTCAGTTTTCTTATTTGTAAAATGGGACAGTTGGACTTGACTTCTGAGGCTTCTAGCTTCAGAGCTAGGATTCTGTGATCCTGTCCCCCTACAGGAAACAATGTGGCTGTCCTCAAGCCCTCAGCCTTAGCCTGAGGAAGGGCCCTCAATCTGATGGAGAAGGGGGCAAGTGCCTTGGATTTAAGACTTACCCCCTTCCTGAGTGGTTCAGGTGGTGAAGTTTCCATCTCTTGCTTTTCCGTCTTTCGTCTGGCAGCACTGCCCTGGCCAGGTGTCCCCCAGCTGAACATAAAGGAATGTGCTTTACCTCCCAGTTTCCAATAGGATGGAGCCAGTAGCAACTTTATTACTCTGGGTAACATAGTCCATCTGTCCCATGGATCCTGCTGGCTTCATGTCTTTCTTGCCCTTAGGGCTGTTGATAAGATACACTTGATGCTTTATCAATATAAGATACACTGTATGAATTCTGCCCTTAGGGTCCTTGGCTGAAACCAAGAATGAGACAACCCCGGAGCTGCTGCCCATCAACACATCATTGTCCCCTGCAATTGCCCCCTGTGCAAGAATAATGCCCAGAGTAAACTCTTGGAGCTACATCAAGAAGTGCCCTAGAGAAATCTGAGCAGACTCAAAAGAAATCAGGAGAGGGGTTAAAGATGGATGGAGTAATGCATCTTTTTTGTGCATTAGGTGAGACCCCACAACTTCAGATTAAGGGAATGTGTGTGCCAAAATAGGATCACAGATTTAGGGCTGGAAGGAACCTTAAAGGTTATCTAGTTCAACTTCATCATTTGATAGATGAAGCCAAGAGAGGCTAAGCAATTTGTCTAAGTCATAACAGGATAATGAACAGCAACATGAGGATTTGAACCCTGGACTTCTGAATATTCATTCAACATTAAATAAATGTTTATTGGGTACCTCCTCTGGAGATAAAAAAAAAGATAACATACAGCTCCTTGGAGTTTACAGTTTAAGAGGGGAGGGAAGATGTGATAACAAATGAATATAACTCTGGGTAGGAAGTGAAAAGATATCATGGGGTGGGGTGGGTGGTGATTGGGTGGGGAAGGTAATGGAAGGGGAATTAAGGAAGATCAGGCAAAACTTCATGGAAGAGATGGCATTCAGTCTTGAAGGACAGGTGGAATTTCTTCTTTTAAAAAAGAGTGTTATATTTGCCTTCTATATTTATTTTAGGGTAATCCTAAGTTCTCTGACTCTGAGCCCTTCCTTCCTTTCTTTTTTTTTTTTGGCTAGGCAATGGGGTTAAGTGACTTGCCCAGAATCACACAGCTAGTAAATATCAAGTGTCTCAGATCGGTTGAACTCAGGTCCTCCTGACTTCAGGGCCGGTGCTCTATCCACTGTGCCACCTAGCTGTTCCATGAGCCCTTCCTTTTAACAAGTAAAAAGGAAAGGAAACCAATCCTGTAACCATGGCTGATGGTGCATACCACCTTCCATACTCATAGTCCCCTACCCCTTTCCTGAGAGAGGTTTCATTTTCTGTTTTCCAGGACCAAGATCATTCCTCGTAATTCATCAGCTTTCAACTGTTCTGAGGATTATAGTTTACATTATTATAATCACTACATATATTATTTTCTTGATTCTACTTTTTTTGCTCTGTATCACTTCTCATGAGTCTTTCCATTTTTCTCTGAATTCCTTCTATTTGTCATTGCTTACAGAACAATAACATTCCATTCCATTAATATATCACAATTCCCTAGTTGATGGGCATCTCCAGTCATTCTGACTTTTGCTTGCCACTGGATTTCAATGATTCTGAAAGAGAAACTGAGGCTGACGACTTTGCGTCGCTTAAATCCACACTCGAGTCAAGACATCACTCCATAATGTCACTGATCTTCTTCGAAAAAAGGAGGATGAAAAACAATTCTAAATCTGGCCCTCATCCCTTAGACTACTTCTTCCACCTCCTAATATGTCTCCCTGCTTCTACTTTCCTCCTCCAATCCAATTTCTGCAGAGATGGCAAAATAATCTTCCTAAGGCATACTGGTTTGAGCGTCGCTCAACTGCTCAAAAAACTTCAGTGTTTCCCAGCTCCCTTGAAGAAAATATGGCTTTTTAAAAAAACCACATAGCTTTAACCAGTGGTGTGCTGGAGCCAGCTCATATGGTTTGTGAGAACCAATGATTAAATGTTCAGCGTGAGCATTTACACCTCAGAAATCGGCAAACTTTTGTATTCATTTACTGAGTCTAACCATCATTCCTACATGATAAATTTCAGCTCTATGTGGAACCCAATTTTTATTAATTATCAATTAGTAAAAACTAAATTCATGGTGTCTTCTATGCTTTTATGGGATTTTCATGAGATCTTGTTTGTGGGAGAATTCCACAGTTGGCTACAGGTAGATATTGGGGTTCTCTTACCTTGCCTTACTTAAATGATCTAGAACTCACCATGTCTCCCCACTACCCTAAATTCCCTCTACCTAGGCCCTCCAAAGGCAGGTCCCTCTCTGACTGGTCAATCTTCTCTGCACTCTGCCCCTTCAGTCTCCAGGTTAACCTCATCCACTCAGAATCACAGATTCTCCAAATTGGAAGGGACCTCAGGGGTCATCTAGTCCACTTGGGTCAAACTCAAATAGAAATAGTGGCCACCAATCGATGCATAAGGATCCCAGTGGGCTGCAAATTGACTTATCTCCATTTTATTGTATTTTTATTTGTTTTGTTAAGCATTTCTCAATTACATTTTAGTCTGATTTGGGCCACGCTCTGGGGCACTATGGGTCACACCTGTTCAGCCAAACTGGTCTTCTTGCTGTTCTTCACACACAACAATCCATCTCCCATCTCTGTACAAGCTGTACTTCATGCCTAGAATGTACTCCCTCCTAACTTCCACCTTTCTCTGTTCCTCACACATGGCACTCTGTTTCCCCTCATTAGACTGTAAGCTCCTTGAGGGTTAGGGTTAGGGTCTGTTTTTTGCCTCTCTTTGTATCCCTAGTGTTTAGCATAGTGCCTGGCACATAGTGGAACTTAATAAATGTTAATTGATTGACCTCCATGGCTTTGCCCTGGCCATTCCATACTTCTTCACCCTTACCTTATAGAATCCCTATTTTCCTTCAAGACCCAGCTCATAGCATCACCTTCTGTAGGAAGCCTCTCTTTACCTCCTAAAACCTCATGCCCTCCAGCCCTATTTTGTATTTAGTCTCTTTATATGTGCTGTCTCTGTATTTACATATGTAGGGATTATTCCATTCTTTGTATTTACCTTCCCATGACCTAGCCCACTGCTTGGCATACAGTAGGTGCTTATTGATTCTTGTTAATTGATTGACCCAGAAAAACAATATACAAAATGACTACAATAGTGTAAATGAATGTTTCATTGAGTGAGAAGGTTGTCCTTTTGTAAGAGGTGTGTGTAGTCCTCACGTGTCATAGAATACCACAGTCCAATAGAGGACTTTAGGCTCCCTCTAGGAGATTAGGATCAAATGAAATAATATTTGTAAAGTGACTGGCACATAGTAGGCACCTAATAAATGCTTGTTCTCTTCCCTTTTCTCCCCTCTTTCTCACAAGGGCCCCCAGTCATGAGCTCTCTTTTTTATCTTTTTTCTGAAAATTTTTATGGTTTTTTTCAAATTACATGTAGAAACAATTTTAACATTTGTTTTCATAAAATATTGAGTTCCAAATTCTCTCCCTTCCTCCATCCCCTCCCTGAGAAGGCAAACAATTTGATATAGATTATGCATGTGCAGTCATGCCAAACATGTTTCTATATTAGCCATGTTGTGAAAGAAAACACAGACCCCCCAAAAAAAAACACTCAAGAAAAAGGTTTTTTTTTCAAATTCTGCTTATATCTGCATTCAGACTCTGTCAGTTCTTTCTCTGGAGGTAGATAACATTTTTCATCATGGGTCCTTTGGAATTGTCTTGATCAGAGAAGCTAAGTAATTCACAGTTGATCACCATATAGTGCTGCTGTTACTATGTTCAACATTCTCCTGGTTCTGCTCACTTCACTCTGTACCAGTTCATATGTCTTCCTAAGTTTTTCTGAAACTATCCTGATCATTTCTTACTGCACAGTAATAGTCCATCACACCAAAAACACAACTTGTTCAGCCATTCCCCAATTGATGAGTGTCCCTTCAGTTTCCAATTCTTTGACACCACAAAAAGAGCTGCTATAAGTATTTTGGTACATATAGGTCCTTTTCCTTTTTCTTTGATCTCTTTGGGCTACAGACCTAGTAGTGGTATTGCTGGCTCAAAGGGTAGGCACAGTTTGATTGTCCTTTGGGCATAGTTCCAAATTGCTCTTCAGAAAGGTTGGATAAGAGAGGGTGGAACCAAGATGGCAGAGTGAAAGCAGTGATTTGCTTGAGCTCGCCCCCAAACCCCTCCAAATACCTGTAAAAAATTGCTCTAAACAAATTCTAAAGCAGAAGAACCCACAAAAAGACAGAGTGAAACAAATTTCCAGCCCAAGACAATCTGGATGATTGATCAGAAAGGTATATCGCACCGGGAGGTGAGGGGAGCGCAGTGCTGCAGTGAACCTGGAGCAGGCCTCAGAGGAATGAATCACAGGCAGCTGTGGTGGTTTCCAGACTCCTCAATCCACGAATGCTGGGGGGGACAACTTAGAAAGTCAGTGGGAAAAGTCTGTTTCTGAGGTGCTGAGAGAGGGACGCGGGGTCCCAGATCCAGTTCCCCGAGAGCACTGCCCAGGGTTGGCAGCTGTCTCCTGAGCTTGTGGCCCACAGACTGAGGGGGAATCCAGTGGCTGATCAGAGAGGGATTGCAGGGATCTCTTTGCCAGTGCTGAGGCTGGAATCTCTTGCTTTGCCCATGCTTGGATCTGGGTCACAGTTCTGGGCAGTGGTCCTGGGGTGAGGAGGAGTGCTGGCATGGTGGAGCTTATAGTGGCTGTGCAGAGCAAACCCTCCTCACAGTTACAGTACAGAAAGGAGTACTTATGGTCACTAATAGATCACAGCACAGGCCAGGAAAGGAGTAAACACCTCGCCCCTTATCATACCACCTTGCAAGAACTGAAAATTTACAGGTCCCTACAAGTATCTCTGAAAACAGCTGTACAAACCCCCGAAGCTGGGGACAGTACATTCTCCACATTGGAAGTAGACTCTTACCTTAACTAAGAGTTTAAAGCTCAAGTAATTGGCTGGGATCATGAGCAAGCAGCAAGAAAAGAGTCAAGACTATATTATCTTACTTTGCTGACAAAGAAGATCAAAATATACAACCAGAA